CTGCTGACTGACTCATGCCACCACGTGCTGGTCTTGCTTACTCAGTCAGATACACCCACGGCTGTCACTTTGCACATGGAGGACCTGGAAACCGCTTCTAAGAGGGTCTTCACTTTCTTTAGGGGAAAAGACAGAGTCACTATCGACTCAAATCTCAAGGTTTGATACTCAATTTATACATATTTATAGTTTTGTTTTCAACTATTACTTCAATTTCAGTCAGTTTCAGTTGACCCAAATTTATCTTATATTTTTCAGTGAGTAATCAGATTTTTTTTAAATGCTGATAAAGTACATTATCCCTTCATGTAATCTTTCATAGCATTCTATCGCTTCCTGCGGCTCTATCACAAATTGTGGATCTCCTACAGATGACATACAACTCAAAGAACGTGCGCAGTCCAATCATCAATTTCGGTGGCCTGACCTTGACTTGGACGCTGGGCCGCGCAACAGTGTCGTCCTCTGAAGGCCTGAGCTTAGAGTGTCACCTAAGCCAGGACCTGTGTCGGCTTTCTGTCACAGGCGAGCACTTCGCTGCCACCGCCGGGCTCCTCGGGGTTTTCGACTTCGATAACAACACTGACTTCATGACCAGTGACTGGGAGATGGTGAGGTCTGCCTTGAAGTTGCGACTTTCAGGCTTAATGTGTCATGATTTGTTTTCTTTACTTTATAACCATTGTTACGTTATTTATCATTTTAGTAATTTATTATAAGTATTATTAAATACCTTCCCAGTTCAAAGCTAAAAGTTCCCAGTTAATCTTGATGTGAAATAAAACTTTATATTCAGATTCCTATTAAATCTGTTCGACTCCTAAATAAGAAACAAACGTAAATAGATCGGTAAAAAGTTAAAAGCAGCCTTTCTCCTTAGCCGGCTTCAGCTGAGGAGTGGGCAGAAAGCTGGCGGGTGACCTCTGCCGAGCAGTGCTCCTCAGCCCTCCCAGAGTCTCTTGCAGCACCACCTGAAGACCAGCACTGCAGCAATCTTTTCAGCAGCCCTGTGTCCCCCTTGAGGTAAATAATGAAGGAAATAAAGTCTTTCACTACACAAAAAAAAAAAAAAAATTGATCTTGAGGCCTTGGAATTAGAAAAGGGAACATTGTTGCTTTTGTTTACAGTGTAACACTAATTTAAGTATATAGCAATCTTTAGCCTATATCAGTAATAGCATATTTTGCTTATCCACATTTTATTTATATTATTATTTTTTTTAAACAGATCCTGCTTTGCTAGTGTGCCAAGCTCCCCTTACTTAGAGACCTGTCTCATAGGGAAGATATGCGCTGCTGAGACTGCCTACATACACACCTGTCTCCGGCACTATCACGAACTTTCGGTGAACATATCGTCGTACTGCCGTAGGTTTTCCTCATTTTCTTCTGTAATTGAACTACTGCTGTTTGCTTATAATTGTTTATAATTTTTGTTGTCTTGGTAAGCAGCTGATTTACTATGATGATAAACATAATGAAGCATACCATGGCATTCACAGGACGTCAGTACTGTTGAAAACTTCATTTCCCAGTCTTTCAAAATTATCATCAATTTGCAACAGTCAGTATCTTATCATCTCCTATGTGCATTCTTTTTAGATTGATATATGTACAGATGCCACACTGCCTCCTGAGAATGAAATTGTATATCATAATTGACAATGAAGAATTGGTGTAACAAACTACCATAAATGATTTTGTCCTCCATTACATCGAAAGTTGTCAACTGGAGAACAGATTTAACCCACGGACCTCTTTGCAGAGCCATGCACACTTCATGGTGAGGAGGAACAGGGTGCAGAGGATCTTAGGAAGGAGATTGTATCATCACAGACTTTGAATGCCTGGAAGACGTTCAGGACCTCGTGACAGCCCTACTTAAGGATGGCAGGAAGTAAGCATTTAAAAACGAGGAAAAAGAGACCAAAAGTACATAAATACAAAACTCAAACCTCACGTTTCTTCTTATTCAGGAATAGAAGAGTACTTGTCCGATATATTGGGCGTGGAACCCCTCCAGTTGAGATTTAGATGGAATCGAGGAAATGGTAATAGACTCTGGGACTTCTCCACTTGATGCCGTTGCTGCTGCTGCTGCTGTCGATTTCTCGCCACGGGCTCTTAAGTCTATCATCCTTTTCGATTGTGATCATCCACGATGTACAGTTTCGGTATGGCCAGTACATCTGTCATTCAATATGCTTTTATTTCATTATTCATTTGTTGTTATCTTGTCACCAATTCCTAAGTTGTGTGACAGATATGCTGCCTACATTGTTCTTTCAAGTTGTACCCATATCTACTTCTTCAAACACCTTCCACTTCTCTTTCCCTCCTTAGAGCACTTCGGCACCGGTCCAGCAACTACGCAATGCACTGTTAGTTCAGGGTGTCCAATTGCATGTGGTCACCAATGATTTCATTGCCGTCCTCGACCCCAGCGAGCTCTCCAACAAGGCTAAGCGCCAGCTGCTGGGTATGTTGGTTTCCACTTCTAATCAGTTATTCTCTCTTTTAACCGTAAGCCGTAAGCTGCATAGTAGGGTTCTGTCAGTTAAACTGTTATGGGATTATAGCCTTCATAACATATAATGTAAGTCGTAGTTACACGCTGTTCATTACATGATGTATGTCGCAGTTTATGGATTAAATTACCACCCCCCTCTTCTGTGCGTCCAAGTCAAAAATGTTTGGACAAGCAACTGACTGGCAACTAAACTGCCATGTCCTTGGGATGGGTTTAGTGTCAAGGGGATACAGTGTTAACAGTTTAGGATTCACTGATGTGAGACGGTTAGGTAATTCATGGAATTACAACTGGTGCCAGGCCAGAGATACATGCTTGCTTTATCTCCATCTACCCCCCCTCCCCCAATATATATATATATATATATATATATATATATTATATACATTTATATATATTATATTATATATATATATATATATATATATATTATATACATAGCATTGACGAAGACACCGTTATATAATTTTTTATAATTATAGTAGAGTGAATTCTTCTGCCAACATCAACAGACCTGACATTAGTTGAATGAATAGATAAATTAAAATCTAATCTCTCTGAAAAAATAAGCAAGGTCCTTTCACTTCTTTGCGTAGGTCTGGATGGCCACACGAGTTACCTGATGTCCCATGCCCGCAAACGCCTGGTCAGAGGGCACCGGGTAACAGAGAACACATAACTACGCCCATTGGAAATACTTGTTGTAGCCTTGCGGTGGAGGTATGTATTTAGGGTATGATCTTATTGATTCACTTATTTTTGTGATATCTGATGGCTGATAAAATAATAATGCCTTTTTCTTAGTTTCTGTTTTCTTGGAAAATTAAGTTTTGTCAGTTTTTTTATGGCTTTGCAAGGAGGCATAGCTGGCATTACAATAACCATCGTTATTAAGGGAGCAGCCATGGATATATGTACATGCATGGATGTACCTGTGTGTAAATTTGAAGGTTAAAACCATATATGTGATAGTTATCTGGATCGCTATTGGCGAGGTACAAAACCATTGATCTGGAAATGAAGGTATCATTAGGCACCACCCGACAACTTGTTTAAGGGCTTACAATCCACCAGCATCATATTGCTGACAATCTTATCATACGAATGATGACTCTGTCTTAAGACCAGCCAGCTCGCTACTCTGTTCATCAACACTGGCCATTCTGTTCTTTAGTGGTAAGCCGTCCTCTTCTGTCGGAAGCGTATTGTGAGAATGTACCTTTGATTTATTGCTTGATCTTTAGATATGAACTTAATCATCAACACTTATTTACAGTGACAAATGAACAAACATAATGAAAGTCTGGACCTAAACACATGTTGTTTATTAACTATCATGTTATTTAAGTTTCATCTTTGACATAAGCACCGATATGTTCACATTAAGAGTTTGAAGTGCGTTAGCGAGAACATATCGTAAGTTCATGTTATAGAGTTGTTTAAGCTAACAAAACAATTTTATTAAAATTATTTTCGGTCAGTTGGTCTAAGAACACCTTTTGGACTCAATGTGTGTGTGTGAAATTTAGGATGGCTAAGCGCCATCTATGTGTAGGTTGAATTGATAACCTAAAGTCACAGTCGACAGGCGTTAGTGGATTAACATCATAAACGATAGTTTGTTTCATGATTGTTCACTTGGGTCTTTACTTCAAACAGCATTTTGTTTAGGCCACGAGAAAAAGAAAAAAAATTTGATTTTCAACCAATTTCATTATTCCTCCAAAATATGATTTGATGACTTTGGACAGCTGTTCTCTTGCTATGTTTTTTAGAGAGAATACTCTTAGTAGTAAATATGTATAAAAATTGTCCTGATTACCCACAAGTACTTAAGATGATTTGACGACTTTGAAAAGCTGTTTTTCCCTTCTTTAAGTGTTTGCAGAAAAGAATAATGAAAATGAAAAATAGCATCATCAGTTTCCATGTTGCCTGAACGCTAAACAAGAACTTTCATTCTTCTCACCTTAAACACGCCCCTCATTCAATTTACAACAAAGATTCCCTTTCCTAACTTTTCTTCCTCAATTCATTTAACTTACCAGACAGATGGATCGGTGTTCTCACTGCACCAACTCAAGATCCACCGGAAGTACCACCGGAAGATCTTTCAGCAGCTTTTAGCGCTGCGTATCGAGGAGGGTTGGGAGGCCGACTACCTCACTTGCAGGAGGTGCGAGTGCGGACGACAGTGCGCACTATGCCAGCCGCCTGCACCACAAGTCTATACAGTGAGCCAATTACTTCTCTCTTTCCTAACTTTATTTGCCGGATTACTAGTATGAAACATAGATGACTAATTCTTCTAAACAGGCAGCGTCCGGTTCAGTTTGCTGTTAGTCTTAGTCAAGGTACCTTTGTGCAGCAGCCCTCTTCATCTCGATGAAAATCCTAGTTGACATCTTCCAAACACATTACCTATATTAATTGCAAATGTAGCTTTTCGTTTCTTTTTCGTTTATTATTA